AAAATAGACTTCTTAGAAGTATCTCTATGACTATGTATATAAGCGTTAAGTCCATATGGATAAAGTGAACGTTGTTTTAGTATATAGAGAGAGATTCCTGAAAAATTCGTGTTTTGTGATTGGGTATTATATCTAGTATCTGAAGTTGAATAGAGTTGAAGTCATGGTGTTTAAAGTGTTCTAACTCTGCTGTATTGTGATGGTGATGGTGTACATATTTTAATGCTATTTTTTGTGCGTTGAATTGAAATTTTTTGATTTGAGCTCTATGGTTATTGATTCGAAAGTTAAGATTGTTTTTAGTCTGTCCTATATATTTAATATGTCAAGTACCGCATGTAATCATGTAAATACAGTTAAATGTTTTTTCATAGAAATTGTTTTTTTTGGGTTTACCTATAGCAGGCATGGCGTTAAATTTTCAAGTTTGTCATCTAGTGGAATGACATTTAATGATTTCAATATGAGTTAAACTAGCAAGATATAAAAGTAAGGAGGCTGCTAACCTTCAATACAGTAAAGTTTTTGTATAAGAACTTTAAAACTTAAAAAAAGGATGGAGATAATATATAAAGTGGCTATATATATATATATATATGGGTATATATATATATATATACCCACTCTGTTACTCGGATCAGTGAGCTCAGTTTTTTTTTATTTATTTTTATTTTTATATGTTGGTTAATTGTGCAATTTTTTTTGTTTAAAAATGATTTAATTATGTTATTCTTATCTTCCGGTTAAGGCTTTTATGCCTTTAATTAATCTGCATTCAGTAGTTGTAGAATTATCAACAATTTTAAAAAAGTGCGCCTAAACTTAACTTTTTTTACAATAGCAGCCGTCTGAAACTTAACAGAATAGTAAATTAGGTCTTTCTGCACCTTCAGTGTCTTTTTGCCGAGTGCCTCTTTTTTACCATAGTAGTCATATTTGTCTACGTTTGAAACTTAGCAGAATAGTTCATTAAGTATTTCTACATCTTCAGTGTGTTCTTGCCGAGTGGGACCAAAAGGAAACTTTTAATTTTGTGCACCGAAAAATCTGCCTTCTTGCCTGCAGGCCGAATTGCTTGCTTTTGCGTAGAAATTGTAATTTTAATTTAAAAAAAAAAATTTTTTTATTTGTTTTAACTGTATTTAGAGTTTTACGTCTTTCTATCTGTTTCAATTATTAATGAAAATATTTTGAGCTTTTTTGTATTTTTGCCTCATCGCGAAGTGAGAACTGAATTTATCGAATGAGAAATATATCTCTAATGAAATTCGAGGAAATATGTTTAAATGAAATGTGGGAATAATGCGTATATTCCGTAGAAGGAAGTCACGTGGTGTACACATCCAGATCTTTTTTAAATGGCTTGATGATTAATTGTGTAGACGTTTCAACTGTTTGGAGTATTTCTTTGCAAAGGTTTTTGCCAAATTAATTCTGAACGCCAGTGTACCACTTTTAATTTTATCATGGTAATTATAAATTTAACTCTGTCTAATTAAACCTCGTTTTTATTCTTTTTTTTTTAATTCAAGTATTTCGAGTCTCGTAATCATTATATAAGGGCCCACCAGCGGCCGAGTGGTAAAGTCGCTGAACACTGGTAGTTCGGTCCGAGGTTCGAATCCCGCGAACGGGCTGGCTGCATGGGTGTTTTCGTGGTTTTCCCCATGTGTAACGTGTATACGAGCCAGTTTCCCTTAGAAAGTCCTCCACGAAGGCATCCCTCCTCTTAGGCAGATAGCCCTCGAGGCTTTGCCATAATCACACACACACACACACGTAATCATTATATAAATAAACATACAATCTTTTCACAAATTGTAAAAAACCATATCTTCAGTAGGATGTTAGTTACTTAAATAATTTCCGTTTTTCGCTCTTGGTCATATTTTTGTGAATCCATATTCATATACCCTTAATTAAGTTGTCTCATTCCATAAAATGTACAATAGGATGCTGTATATTTATAATGAACAGAATAATTTCTTTAAAATTTTATTTTATCGTATATTTAATTTTATGTTTTTCCTTACAGATGGATGAGTTCGTTGTTTCATTTACTCAAGAAGCTTTATCTCTAGACAGTCTTCAGAATTCCCATCCAATAGTAATTGATGCTATTGATCCTCAAGAAATAGAAGCAGCGTTCGATCTCATAGTTTATAAAAAGGTTTGAAATTACATTCGAGCCGCATATTATAAAATTTAGCTATATATTCCGTGACATTTTGCATACAATTTCCATAAATATATATAAAAACCTATATGCTACGTAGAAAAGGCTTTATCTATAGACTTGCATAGATTTGGCTGCATAGAAAAGGATAATGAAAAATTATATCTCTATTTACATAGATTTAGTAATAATAATTAAGAGTAAGTTAATAAATATTTTAGCTGCTGATTTTGATATAGAAATTAATTTTACAAATTATCAAATCGTATTTATTTTCTTTCATAATATATTTCAGTAAAATGAAGTAATCTTCCGGCTTTGTCTGAAGCGTGTTTCCTCAATTTCCATTTTTTATAGCTTACTAGCAGCTGCGCGGTCAGCCTCCGTCTGGCTTTTAAATGTACTAGAAAATGCCGAAAGGGAACACCAAACATTAAATTTAAAACTGCGCAGAATTTTACTCTACAGAACAATTGTATCAAAAAAAATTTTTTTTCAATAAAAATGTATTGCATATAAAACCCATTACAATGAAATAAGCAAAAGCCCTTAATACATATATTAAATATCCTAATAAAATTAAATAACTTTCCGTTGCCTTCTCTTAACAAACGTCTAGTATCCAAGAGAAACATTAAAGTTAAAAACTGCATAGAATTATAGCCCTCATTTTTCCAAATGGCAATAGTGCTGGTTTTCAACTGTCAGCAGTCCAGTATACAAAGCATTGAATGAAGAAATGTTGCCAAAACCATATTTCTGAAAGAGTGAAACTATTCAAAATGATGCGATTTCATCAAAAAAGATAAAATTAAAAAAAAATCTGATTAGAATTTTGAAAAAATCGCTTCGAGGTGCACTGGCTCTTGTCTAGATGCATCTGTGCTACGTTTCTGAACGGAAGAATTTCCAGTTCATGAAAACTGTGCATCTGGTATCCAAAATGACAAATGTTTTCGAAGTTACGAAATTCTATTAAATTTACATTGCTCTACTAAGAGTCCAAAAAAATTGGCACAATTTTAGATTTATTTTGTAAATATTTTGAAAATGATTATTTTCCGTTTCGTGCTTTTTTGCTTTATTTATTTTGTTTCAACTTAACTATTTTATTATATTCACCCTGTGTTTCTTAAACCTATATATTACGCTGTTTCGTTACAAATTATTTTAAATAAATTAAGCTAGACTATCTCTGCTTAACTTTGGCAATTGTCGCTTTTTAACTCAGCATTAATTCGTTTTCATTGATTAAGCAATAACAAGAGAATATTTTGTCATATCAAATAGTATTTACATTGTGCCTATTAAATGAAATAATTCATTTTGTTAATATGAACAAATTTAAGTTTTAAACCGTTGGCAAATGTAACTGTAGAATTTGAACAGCACACGTAAAATCAGACATGCATTTTAAAACTGGAGATATATTATCTACTAAACTGATTTCATCTAATTTTTTAATTAATCTGCAACATCAACATTCAAATAATGTGCAGAAATACATTTTCATAAGTTATACAGTATACAATTATAAATCTTTTGGCTGAAAATATGAAATTAATAGTTTTGCATTTATTCACACAGGACATAAAAGAAGTAGATGCTGTCCAACTGTATAAATTGAATTTAATTTTACTTATTTATTTATATTCTTCTTTATTTTCTTTTTTAATTTAATTCGGGGGGGGGGGAAATTCACAATGTGTGTTTTACGTGTTCCACGCTTCGGCATGAAAATTTAGATCTTTACTGAAGTTTCATCACAGAAACTTTACCATTTTCAGCATATACTTCTGAATATGTATACCAGCAATATGAATCTGGTAATATACAGAAATAGCACTTTTGACATGAAATGCATCAAGTACTTAGCATAAACAACTATTAAAAAAATCTCTTTTTAGTTTTCTTTTTGTAGTTCAAAATGTGATTTCGGTTACGTAACCACATACGGGATATGAGTAATGGGAAAGTCCACACATTATAGCTGTATATTTACTTATTTACTTTTCATAGTCTTATTTTGTAATTGAAACAAGAATCTTAATTTTATTAAAATATGCCATCTACTTCTTTTGTCTTTTACACAACTGAAACGTAATAAAAATAACTCTTTTCATTGTATAGGGTGCTTCAATAATAAATATGTTAGCAAACGTTCTTAGTATGGAAACCGTGCAAAAGGGACTATCATCTTACTTGAAGAAATATAGTTTTCAGAATGCTCGTACTGAAGACTTGTGGAATGAATTCACTGAAGTAAGTGCTTTTTTTTTAAATTAAAGAAATATTCAAATGAAAGCCTCCCTGCAAATTGTTTTTACTTTCTGCATTTGTGGAGATAAAGATAATCATTATCTACTTAAAAATCAATCTGAAATGACAAGAAATTTAATATCTTAGCAAATTATTGCTTGGAATACTATTTAAAATTATTTTAAATTGAGCCACCTTTTAATTAATTCAGCTCGCACTTCTACTTTTTGTTTAAGCTTTCTGTACGTTAATCGTTATTAAATTTAAATAAGCATCATGCAGATGGTATGTAAACAAAGGTATTTAACATGTCTGAGAAAAAGAGAAAAGTAGGTAAAGAGAAGCAAAATAAGCCCGTTTTAAAATAGAATGTGTTTGCAGAATGGCTCATTGAAGTGGTACAGGGTTTTATTAAGACACATATTTAAGAGCATTCCATATAGAGGAATTCCCTGAACGAATTTTGAGCTTTACATATCGTAACGCTAAAGCGGATCTTGGCGCAAACGTGTTATCTATAGAACTGCAGCTAAAACGGAGCAGTTATTCAAAGAAAGCACACAGAAAGATTTCCGAATACCTCTTTTGAGCAGCTATACCATTTCCATTCAAAGACTAATAGATAAAATGCATGCCGACAAACTCTTCGTTCATGTAACAATGATTGCCACTTGAAATTTGCAAGGAGAATGATGATTTACGCCAACAAAATATTCTTTCAGGCGCTCAACAACCCCCTATGCCACCTCAATGCCCCATTTTCGCACATATATCCAGCTACAAAGCCTGCTTATTTTGTCAGATATTTTTTAATCATGGTGTATGTATATATATATATATAAGTATTGAAAATTAATTTATGATTCCTTACTTCAAAAACGTTATAATAAAATACGATAGCTGCTTTAAAAAATTATTGGGGACCTCAAAATTAACATTCTAAATTTGGTGATCTCCCCCAAAATTCATCTGTTCTCCCAAATTCGAGATTTTTCGACGTTACTTAACGATGCTTAGAAAGGGTAACCAAAACTAATAACTAATGCAAAGACCTAATTAGCAATCATTTAACTAAACAACAGCTAACTAATGATTTGCTAAAACAACAGCAATGTTTCTACACGCTTAAAATACCCGCCACTTTTAAATTGTTGATCAGGCAGAGTTTCAAAAAATGTTACTGCAAATCTAAATGTACCGCAAATAGATGCGCTTGTCGCAAAATCCATTTGCTATGTAATTCAAAGTATCACTAATCTTTCGATTACGCTGATAAGCATAATTTTATCATATGTTTTGCGAATTCATTTCCTCAATTGTAATAATATTTTAAAGCTTTTTATTCTTTGCATTATGGTTTTTTAATTGATTGGTGATTGATTCTATCTACTAATTTGATGATTGTTTGATTGTATTAACTTGATGTTTTTAGATTCGAAAAATAAATAAATAATATTGTGTTAATTTAAACGTACAGAAACGTGCTGTTTTTCTAGCTTTTTTTTTTTTTTTTTTTTTAATTTTAACGAGCGCCGAGAATCTAATGTGCCTGGTAGGTAATGCGCAAAGTGGATATAAGATTCCTTCTTTTAAATTTTGAACGGAAAATTGGCGAAACGTTCTTAGCAATGCAGATGACATAATGTGGGTGAACCTTTCAGTGGCGCAATCTAGAAAAAAGTTACTACTTTTAGAATAGAAAGGGGAAACACAGAAATTTAAGAAAATGGATTAAGGAACTATTGCTGTTTTAAACTGTAAGTGATGTTTACACACACACACACACACATATATATATATATTTATATTAAGAAATAAAGAATATATAAAAGATTAAATTTGCAACGTAAATTTCCCTTCTCTATTCTAAAATTAGTAACCTCTCTCTGCATTGCGTCATTTCGAGACTATTCTATGTCATATGACTCTTACGTAATTATAATGATGTAAATGGAACTAAAACTCAGCCAGCCAACAGTAATTTTAGAGCAATATTAACTGTCTAATCAGAATGTATTGAAAACCAAAACTAACTCAGTCTGACTTGAGATTTCATCCTGAACATTACGCACTTGCTTTCTACGCTTTGCCTTAGCTAGACTGCTGTCTATCTGCTGCTACTTTCTTGCTACAAAATTAGCAAAAATGTAAGCCTTTTAAAACAGGCACATTTAATGTGCCGATTTGTGTGTAGCCGCATCATGTTGCTGAAAATAAAACTGAAGATTTAATCTGCCTTCGTCTCCAATTTCCTAGTCAATTTCGATCAACACTTCTACGCCATCAAAATTTTTCCTTCTGCTCCTGAATTTATTACAATTAAGTCGACAGGATACATGTCCTGTGCGTCGGATTTCCAGTGGAAATGTCGTCGCAGTGTCTGCTATCTTCTATAATCAACCACCTCTTTAAACGTCCATGTGTAACGGAAATTCATAATGGATATCGAGTACCTGAAAGTTCAAAAATGCTAACGTCAGTGAAAAAACGAAGTTTAGGCCATCTGTTATTAGAAAAAAAAAAAACATCAGCAAAGTGTGCCTGTGCTTCACAGAAGTGTTATCATCGAAATTGTGGCTGCGATTGTAAAACCGAATTAGTTAATTGCCTTCATGTTCTAATCTTCAATATATTTACGGCTCCCGTCAATGTATGTGCGCAGCTTTGTATCAGCAAGTCAATTACACCGAATCGTTCCCAAAACAAGTGTATTTAAAGTCAAAATCCATGCTTCGAAACTTAATCTAGCATATACCGTTGTTTACTAAGTGCAGCAACGTAAATGAACAGCGATATGAAAATGTGAAAAAAAATCGAATCATAGAATTGCTAAGAGTGCTTAAAAATGAAATCTAGAGCCAGCCTTTCAAAATTAATCCAGCGTTTATAGTAAAATGACGAATGTTTTCCAAGTGCCAACGTTTCAAATAATTCCAGTGCTTTCAAGATCATCGAACTGCATATCTTGATCCGGCTATATGCGAATAAATTAGGATATTCGCAGTCATAGGATTACGCTTAAAGTAGGTGCCAGAAAATTAACTTCGCTCCTGCTTTTTCGTAATTGAATCTACATTGGAAACTGATATTTTTCCCTTAATAAATTGGATACTAAAAAAAATGTAACACTGTGATATGAAAAAAATATAATTTAATGATATTAGAAATTTGAATTCTAATAATTTAGAAAAGTAAATAAGTAATTCTTAGATTTTTAGTTATTTTTAGGGAAGGCTATTAAGATAAATATTTGTATTTTTGAAATTTTGTTGAAAATTTTCAATATGAATTTTATAATTATTCTAAAAATGAAGTGTATATAAAAATTAAATGAAATTATTACAGATAAGTAACATGTAATTATGGTAAATGCATGTTAAAATTTATGGGTGATTGTATGAGTATCTTGAGGGAGTAGTGGTTCCTAAACAGAGGCCTGTGATTACCTCTATACAGCTGTTCCTTTTACCCTCTTCATGTAAGAAAATATTGGAGGCTCTCATTTTATGAGTGTGTGTAATTTTTTTTAATATTATTATACTTTTTTATTGTGGAATGTGTAAGTGCAGTTCTCAAAGGCCAGTTACTTTATGCAAGGAACGGAGGACTTTTCAAGTAACTTCCTAGGCTCCCTGAGTCACCAGTGCAGACAACACACTGTTTAGCTCAAGAGGACAGCTCAAGAGGACAGAGGATAGATATGTTTGTTTAGAAATATTTCGAGACCTTCCAGTTTGTTAAAATCAGGAACTGTAAATGAAAGATAATAACGGTAAAACCATAATTTCTGAAACTGTTACTCCTATTATATTTATGGTGTTAAAATATAATTTATCAGTATGGAAATTAGTATCATAAATATTTATGTGCGTTACATTTAATTGTAAGTAATGATTATGTAAATGTTTATTTTGTGATATTCTGTGATAACAAGAACCTTTCCTGAAGAATTGTGATTATGTAAACGCTCAAACAAAACGAATTTTGGACTGAAATGCTGAAAAATTCAATGGGACTCTAAAAATTAAAATTTATTTTAAAAAAATTGATATTTATAAATTATATTTTACAGGATCAAAATTTTTTTTTATTTATTTATTTATTTATTTTTTTCCCATTTACTAGCGCCTACGCTTTAACTTTCTCTTAAAAAGGCTTCTCTGTCGCTACTCCTTTTTCTTCTTGAAGGAAGGGCGGAATATGTAAGAAAAATAAAGAATATATAAAAAACTAGCAACGTTAATTTCCCTTCTCTATTCTAAAAATAATAACCTCTCCCTGCACTGCGTCATTTCAAGACTATTCTATGTTATATGATTCTTATGTAATTATGATGATGTAAATGGAACTAAAACTCAGCCAGCCAATAGTAATTTTAGAGCAATATTAACTGTCCAATCAGAACATATTAAAAACCAAAACTAACTCAGTCTGACTTGAGATTTCATCCTGAACGTTACGCACTTGCTTTCTACGCTTTGCCTTAGCTAGACTGCTGTCTATCTGCTGCTCCTTTCTTGCTACAAAATTAGCAAAAATGTAAGCCTTTTGGAACAGGCACATTAAATTGTTCACACGAAAATTCACATGTGCCGATTCGTGTGTAGCCGCTACATGTTGCTGAAAATAAAACTGAATATTTAATCTGCCTTCGCCTCTAATTTCCGAGTCATTATGGATCAACACTTCTACGCCATCAAAATTTCTCCTCCTGCTCCTGAATTTATTACATATATATATGCATTATATGTGAGTGTGTGAACTAAAAATTAATGACTATATAGTATTACATAATACATACTCGTATTAGAATTATCATTTCCTTATTAATTTTATACCTTCAATTTTTAGGTCGATCTCTCACATATGAATGTATCGCAGATTATGGATACTTGGACACGACAAAAGGGCTATCCTCTTGTTACTGTTACGCTTGAACATACTACAGTAAAGGTCAAACAAGAGAGATTTCTTTTATTTCCCGATTCCGGCAATATCTCGTCTCCCAATTCCGACAATACCTCGTCTTCCGATATATCTCCCTATGACTACAAGTGGTTTGTTCCGATCTCGTACGTCACGGATCTCGGAAACAAACACAGCACTTATTGGTTAAATATGACTGATGGTATGCTACGCTGTTATTAAATACGTACTAAACTAATCCTAATAGTTCGGAGAAAGGAGTATTTTTCCATAAATTTCATATCAAAACAAACACCAATAAAGTCGTCGCTGCGGGTAAATCGGTTTAACTGCTACAAGACTCTGCGTTGAAGAAAAGATAAGCATGCATCTGGTCATGTGACAAAGTAGACAGAAATAAAGAAACAGGCTGGTTGAAATCAAGTAGGCCAGAGAGAAAACAGGATAGAAGTACTCTTTCAGAAATATAATAATTTTCAAGGGATAGTTCGAAGATATAGGGAAAGAGGGTCTGGGGCGTAAAAGTGCCAGGGAATGTATAACATACAGATTGAAAGGAATAAGGGAAATATTAATTCAATGCACGTATAAAATTATCTCTTCGTATTATTACAAAAAAAAACTTAAATTTCATATTATTGAGGAATTTTATAACTGCATGTATGCTTTAAATATTGTGTCCTTCGTGTATACAAAATACTTTTCATAAACTATCTGTTATTTGTAACTTGAGGAAGAGCAATATTTTAAAGCGATTCCTGATGCAAAAGCTGCGTGTCACAAGCGGAACAGGCGAGGGTGGTTATGGGCTGCTATATGATCCAAAACTGGTAACTTATTATCAACAGATAAAACATTGCTTCATAAATAGATAGGTTCTATGAAACTGGCTTCTTTTCTCTGCAAGACCCACGAAGTAATTATATTGAACATACTGATGTTCAGTTCCTGCTTGTGTATTGTAGTCAGTGAAGTACTAAGCACAGAAATGCATTTTGTAAGTAGATCGTCGTTACAATGCCTGTATCATGCTTGTTGATCGCAGTATCAGCGTGTATGGAGAGTGTTTTGAGTGGTGTTATGTGATATATCTTTCGCATAAAGCAGTAAAGCGAATATTGACTCATGTGGTATGTTGCAAGGCTTTGGTGATATGCAGAGTATTTTTTTTTTCGCAGCGAACAACAACAGTCTATCACTGAAATTGATAATGTGCGTAATGTAGTCTGAGTGAGTTAAAACGATAGTTTGTAAACAAGCTTATTCAGCCATAAGCAATCAAAATCCTTCGATGCATCGAAACATAAAGCTTGTGCTATGACGTTTAAGCGTTGGACGATTAGCTGAGTAAATCGGTACAGCTTATGCACTATGAATGCTACCTTTCAAAGTCATGCTTTAAAAGATAAGGATCTTTTTTCCTGTATGTAGTTTCATATGCGTTGAAGATAACTACTCAGCAATTTTTCTGATTGCTGACAGAAGACTTATTGGCCGGTATGACGCTGGTTCACATAATTATTTACAAAACTTCGGGCATTGGAGAAATAGTGGGCACTGGCCAAGTGAACTGGAAGCGCATGAACTGAAGTATATAGTTAATAAGTTTTGTTTACAAGAATGACATTTTAACCATTCCCTTGATAATTTTATTACTGATTCCATGGTATCCAGAGCTTTTAACTGTCCGTTTTGATAGATGCGATCTAGTTGAGGCAATTAATGGGCGGAATATTAGTGGAGACAGCATTCCGAGTAGAATTACCCAGTCTTTATTGTTTAGTTTTTTGTGATGTGCTTGTCATTAGGGCAATGAGTTCGCTTTCCGTACTGCATTTTGATGTTTGATAGGTTTACTCATCCAACCTTTTTTTCACATTGCTTGTCTATTTTCATTCATTACATCTTTCTTCGCCGACTGATGGCGGCTAAGTGAAATATCCCATGCTACCATCTCGATTCTTCTTATCATCCTTTTGTTGTTCCACACATTCTTTTATCTGATGCAGAGTAAAAGCGCGCTTTCGCGCGCTGTCACTCTCTTTCCATTCTATACAAGTCAAGTTAGCTAATCGCAGGATTTTGCATCTACCGAGCGTCTCAACTTCTTTTAGTAAAACATTCTATATGATACTGTTCTTCGTGATGCTAGTGCACCCTTAAAAATTTGAGTTTTTATTATATGAAGCGTTTGATTGTCACTAAAATAAATACAGTCTATTAAAAATTAAAAATGTATTTTTATTATGTTGGAACTTCAGGCTTTCTTATTTATTTCTGAAAAGAGAATTAGTTACAAGATTTGAGAAGAAATTTTCTTTAGAAAACCGATACTTATCATCGTACTTGCTTTCATATTCTAATTAAATCTAATCAATCAATTAAATCTTATCAATCTAATCATATCACCGTATAATATTAAAAGGATATTTTATATTATCACAGCGTATTACGGTGTATCTAGTTATTGACTGTTTGTATTCTATTTTCAAGTAAACTTACTTAATTTTGTTCTGAATAACACAAAATGTACGTAATTTGCACACGTGGATACCATTGCTAATATTTTAGAATCATTCATGTGAGGGTGACGTCTTATCATCAAACAGATATCACACTCACGATTCAAACTATCAGGTTTTATTCCTGAATTATAGAAGAAAAGATAAACGGAATGAGTATGTACAAATGGATTAAATATGTTTAGGAGAGTAATTACACTGGTTCCACTATGGAGATGTAAAAGTCACAGCTGACCACCTACGTGAGGTCACTTTAGATAAGTTCCAAGTCCAATCGCCTACGCGCGACCAGTAAGCGTCTAGTTGTAGCTCCTTCGCAAGCGTTCTGTCAGACCGCTTCTCTCGGACTTCTCGAACCAACTAAAGATCCTGGAAGCTGGAGAGTTCGTACAGAGAAGTGATAGGTAGCGACATCTGGAACTTCGTTGAGGCACGATTCCCACATTCATTTTTAAATATCAAGTGTGAGAGTTAATTAAACTGTTCTGTTGTTAATAAATAATCAAAGGTATCGTATTGGTGTTTCATGCGATATTAATATATGGCAAACATGGGTATTTACCATCATGGATGAGTTCTATGTAATAAAACTGATATTTTCATTGATTCATTAGTAAAGATTTACATTAATTATGTTAAAAGAGCTTAGAAGTTTCAATAAATATGGTAACTTTACTTTTGTAGGATATACTCTGATAAGTTGCTAAAATTGTTTGACTGTTGGTTTTATGGATGATAATAAGAAATACAAGTATTGCGTTCAAGCAACTTGAGAGCTCAGTATTGAATTTGATGCGAAAAATGCTTTTCTCAATTATATTCACAGTGATAGATACATGTACTGTCTAAATACAAACATTTTAATAATAGTGGGTATTTTTAATTATTCCGTCTGCTTCTTGTAAAACTGAAACAATGCTTTATCACTTTATCAAATGCGATGCAGGCAAAAATGAGTCCTTTTGGCGAGGCTTTCTGTATGAGTAATTTTCTGTGCAAATTCTTAGAAAGTTCAGCTGTTCATTTTAAATCAAAAGTGAGTCAAACTAATATGCCATATGTTATAAGAATATCGTTTCACTTTTCTGCAAGCCTTCGTGGTGTAACGTTTAGCATACGCGGCGCGTATTCGAGAGGTCCAGGATCGAGTCTCGGCGAGGGCATTGCTCCTTTTTTAAGTCTCCCGCATCAAAATAACTTAATGTCTCTACGATATAATTCACAAGAATGAGATGTAAATTCCTCTCTCCTATTTTATTTTTTTTTGCCTTTTTATTGCATATTAAAATAGCATAATATTTTTGTGTTATATATTAAGATTTCAACATTGTCTTGGTATTGTCTTATTACACATGTTATTGTTAAAAGTATGAATATTTTAGATCGATAACAATTAATTTATATATAAAGATTCATTTAATATATTATTATCTTCTCTGTGTTAGTCTACAAGTATTCGATTTGAAACATAATTTTGTAAACAAAATTATTCTTAGGTGAATTTGCTTTACCTTCGGAAGCAGAATGGCTGAAAATAAATGTCAATCAAGCTGGGTTTTACAGAGTTATGTATGATAATGTCTTATGGGAAAAGCTGACCAATGTGCTGCATTCTAATCATAAGGTAAAATATTTTTAACATACTAATTATGTTTCAGAAATAAAATATAATAAAAAACTTAAAGAATAATTAATGGTTTTGGCAAAAATATTTGCTTTAATCGTCCAAAATGTGACCAAACTATAACAACATTAGATTACTGATCCTTATTTATTTTAGAAAAGTAATATAACATATAGGAAATTACGTTAGTCTGAAATTTAAATTTAGGCTGATTTTAACATGAGACTGGCAACAGCTGTATAGAAAAAACACGCCTTTTAAGGAAAACATGACAAAACAGACACGAATCTTTTCAAAAGGAGTAAAATTATTTCCTGCATTTCCCAAAACGAATGCTATTTAAATAAATGAATGAATAAAAATCTGAAAGAGTTTAGATTTTAATGCTTTCCAAGAAGGGTGTTTTAACACATACCACACCAAACATGCATTGAAGAAATTAATATTTTTTTATAAATTCTTAAATATGTGTTTCTCTAAGTTTATGCATACATATAAAACCAAACAAACTACCAAATTTGTGTTAGTTTGATCAATGCAGCCTGTCCTAAAAATAAGACAATGGTATAATCCACTGCTATTCATTCTTACGTAGGTGGAATGGGAAAAAGCATCTTAAACATAGTCCAACGTTACATTTTTTACAGATAATTGTTGGTTTTGCAGCAGAGATCTTTAGCTGGCATTTGCTTTGTCTATTCAGGTTTTTTCACAATAACATGTTCATTTCGAAGCTTTAGAAAATTCTCATTAACTTATTGAACACTCAGTTTTTTCTGCAAGATGGATTTCTTGCAATAGAAACTCCCAAATAGGTAACTATTATGTGTCTTTGAAAATCAAGTAGGCTCATACTGTCATCACTTAATAAGTGTCTGAGCTTCCATGAAGCGACAAATGCTGTCTCATGAGGAAAAGCCTTCGGAATACTTTCGAATTTGGATTCACATTTTACCCATTTGGGATTTACATCATTACCTTCATCGCTATTTGAAATTAAAATTTCAATATTACCAGCAACCTCTTTAGGACTTCCTTAATCACACATTATTTCTTCCATCTCTCTTGTAGATAAATCATCAGTCTCATCTGTGTTACTGAGTGCATCAGGATCCGGGGGTAAAATCACTATTTCATTGTCTATGTCGACTCCACATAGATAACATTTAAGATTCTTCACTTCTATAGGATAATCGTTTGACAAAACTAGCCTTTTAAACTTATGTAACAATAAAATTATTAATTGGCACTCCAGTATTCCTAAAAAAATTAATGTAAATACAATTAGCAACCAAATTCATAGAATTAAAAATATTTGCACACATATTTTAGGTATGGAAAATGAAATACTAATTCTGATTTCAACTCTTCAAGAAAACGATGTCCCAAAACAATTCGTTAATTTGAAACTTAAAACACTTGGCATTGATTACATTCTATAAAGTTACGAATGAAGCGCTAGTTAAAACCCAATGCGAGATTAATTGCGGATGTATAACTTTTGCACAAATGTAACTAGTTTTCTCTAGTAGCTAATATCCTTTTATTAACGAAGTCCCATCTATTTTCCAAGTCTTTAGTCCAGCTCAATCAAATGAAAATCTCAGATCTTTCACATTTACTTGTTATTTTGTTCTACCGCATGTAATATAAATCTAACGTAGTTGGCCCTTAATTTAAACTAGCCGGCGAATACCAAAAGGCACGTAATAAATACGGCCGAGCGTAACAACTTCAAGAGAGACTTAGCTCGAAATCAAACACGCGCTACTCAGGATTCCTAGCTCTCTCTCACGAAGTAAGTTGAACCTTCGTGTAATACTACTTCTAACTCATTTGCATTCAATGCGATTCTAAAACCTCATTCTCGTAGGGAGTTGTAAGTGGAATAAGAATCGATATGAAAATGCATTGAAATAAAAATAACTGTTATAAAATTAAAATGTAACTTACAAAACAAGAGTTTAGAAATACAAAAATTAAGATTATTAATTTTTAACTCCATATAGTATACTGCGAACTTAATTAAATAATTAAGAGATAATAATTAAATCCAAAATGGTAACTAACTAGCTAACAGGAAAACAAAAATCAAGACTGAAACAAAAAGAAAAAACAACTCAAGTATCATAAAAATATATAATATATAAAGTATAAAAATAGTTCTTCAAAATCTTTTCTAAAGAGCACCCAAAACATTTTCAATACAGCTATGTTTATAAATTATTGCATGATAAAAAAAAAAAAAACAAGTACACAAATTTTAATTAATTTTAAAATAAAAATGCGAAACCATTAAAAATGTTTTATATAATATAAACAAAGAATGCTGTTAAAATTTTTAATTTAATATATGAGTAATGTATAATCTCATTGACCTTGAACATCAAAGTAGAAGATTATATATTGATGATTAATTTAAAAAAAACTTTAAAAAATGCTAAGCTTAATTTTTAAAAGCATTCTTGATTAATTCTTGATTAATTTAAAAAAATTATGTATTTTAATTAAAATTTGTTTATTTGATTTTAGAATCATCCAAATATAATTCAAAAACATAGCTCCGTTGAAAGTTTTCTGGCTGTTTCTTGAAACAGACCACAGAATTTTCAACTATTTGTTATATTATTATTCTTGTATAAGCCCAAAGGGCGTTAACCCAGAGGGGCTATCGATTTCATTTTGGCATTTTGCATTCGTTCACTATAAACGGCGTTAAACTTTTCAAATTGTTGCCACCAAATATTAGAGCCCTGAATTATATTTAAAGAATTTAAATAATGAAGAATCTACATGAATGTAAGTATGTTTCTCGCATTGCAAAAAAGCAAGAACACTTAGAGATATTAAATTTTGAATAACGTAGTTCTCAACCCAAATATGGGCATCTAGTAGCCAGAATTTGGAATTTGTTTTATTATCTATTTCATATTTTGTAAAACCTTAACGAATTTTTGATTAACAAAATCAGATTATTTCAAAGCGAGCAATGTCAACAGCGAGCGGGGGGTAGGTGGGTGGGAAATTATCTCCAAGGCGCGAGACTGTATCGGAAATTCTAAAGATATGCTTTTTTAAAATTATTTTGTGATATTGCTGTTGAATTTAATTTTGTGGTTTAAGTGCGAAGAACATGATATTTAATAAATAAGTGTAACACACAAAACGTTAAAAAAACGTCCGGCTCTAGTAAAAAATTGGGCGCTCCTTCGATTGGCGACAAATTTTGTTCAATTTTGATGATAAAACGCCATTTCTAGTTACCATGATAGTTTTAACTTCAATTGACGCCACCTTAGGGTTACCGTAACTTTTCTAACCTTATATGACGTCATCACTCTCGCTTCATGGACCTTATAAGAAATAGACTAACCCAAACGGTTTTTCTCCCTCGTCTGAGGCATTGCCGGCTGTCACCTTGATCACATCCGGAGGAGTAGGGACGACTTGCAGAAATTTAACATTGGTTGGCTATTGCAGCGTGTATAATTATCAAGAAAAAGCTGTTTGTAGTGCCTCATTTAACAAATTAGAATTTCTATATATTTTTATTTTTGAAATTGAGATTGATTTTTAAAACTTTAGCATATTTATCAAGCATAATTAACGTTCCTAATAATTATAAAGCTATTCCATGCTTTCAGGGCTGGATATTTTTTTAGCTTTTCCTATGCTGTAAGTAAATTTGCAACTACTTCTTTTAGAAAATAATATTTTAAATCTGAACTAATAGAAAATTTCAAACAAGCTATTTTCTCTTGCAATTTTTATGCTTTTTATGGCTGTAAATAAGTAAAAAGTACTAAAATATTTAAAAACGAATTTTTGAAAGTTTTGTTTAAAATTCTAAATTGTGCTCTTTTTTTAAAATTATAGATGAGTATTATAGCACAATTTCTATAACGGAATTTTATTTCAACTATATTCCATAATACATCATAGTGATAAACACTTTTGACTCCTTAAAATTTTTATACATTTAATTCTAATATTAAAATTGTATTTAACCGTAATAATTAATTTTGCTTGTATTTTATAGTGATTATTTTTTTTAATTTATTTTTAGTTCCTAATAAGATTTTTTTAATTACTGTTCATTTAATTTATGAGCCTAAAGGGGCAGTAGCCTAGAAAGGCTGTTAGTTTCGAAGCGGCATTTTGCGCTGTTTTACTATAAATGTCCGTGTCTCCTTGCAAATTGTTGTTACCAAATATTATCGCCCTGTGTTATATGTAATGAAATTAAATAATGAAGAAATCTGCATGAATACATGTATGTTTCTTGCACTGTGACAAAAACGACAGTATCTAGAGCCATCAAATTTTGAATAATGTAATTCTCCAACTGAACATGGGCATCTGGACGGCCGAATTTCGAATTTATTTTAATCTATTTCATATTTTGTAAAACTTTAACGAATTTTTGATTAACAAACTCAACGAGTTCAGAGCGAGCACTGTACGGAAAATAACAGTTTTATCTCCAGTGCGGAAATTCTCAAGATATGCTGTTTTCAAATATATGTGGTTTACGGGCGAAGAACATGATATTCAATAAATATAGGTAACACACAAAACTTTAAAAAAGTTGCTTCTAGATTTTATTTTATCTTTTTTTTTCCTTCATTACGCTCAGAAAATTTTATGCTCCGAATTTTATGAATTATTAAAATAACTAATCCCTTTTAATGTTAATAATTTAATGATCATATAATCAAATAAATATGATCGTTTTGTAATATTATTATAGTTTAGAAAATCGCTGCCTGAAAATGGTCATTAAATTAAAAAAAAAAATATCAGATCTTGTTTAATTTTACCTTATTCATTTCAAAGCATCGCGTAATCTCATTTAATTTTACTTTATTTTTACGCAAAATTAAGTTCATAATTTTTGTGCTTAGAGTTTTTACCGTTTTACCAATGTAAAGATGTTCGTACAAGAATTAGGCGTGGGAAAAAAAAAAAAAAAAAAAAGCGCGAAATGCAGTAAAAAGTGCTTTTAATGAGATATATTAAATCCTATTTGGAAAAAAAACTGTGGCTTTCATAATCTCATCACGATACAACGTATCACATTTAATAATTAAAAAGAATTATATGATACAAACGCCATAGGTTTCAGTGTTAAAGTAAACCAGATCGTCCCTACTCTTTCTTGCCGACATGTCGGTGACGCACGCCCCGCCCACTGGGTTAGTCTATCTCTTATAAGGTCCATGTCTCGCTTTCTTAACTGTAAATTTTATTGGTTGTTTTTGGTGATTGCGTGCATGGATGTCAGTTGTATTTTCAAATTTTAACCGCCATTTCGTTTTAGTCTTAGTTGCTCTCTTAATAGCGCTATCGTTCTCGGTCATCTAGAAGGGAAGTAGAAAATTTGGAAAAATAAATATGCGTTTTTTTTTTAATTGGAATAAAAGGGTAAGAAAGCTATTATTGATTAGTGTATGCATGAAGGTGTGATTAGTCGGTATGTTTGTCCTGTTTGTATGAAAGGTGTGCGTTTTATCGAAAGGAAGGATAGATTGAATGGTCACGAATGGGTTTGTTGTGAAAGAGGTATGAGTGTTCATCATTGTAAGAAGTCTGTGAGGAAAGGTACGTCGTTTTAAGAGAATAATATGAGTATGATTGAGATTTTAATGTTTTCGTATATGCGGGTTTATGAATCTGGTACGAATCTGCTTATGAATGAGGTGAATCAATCGAATAAAACTGTGGTTGAATGGTGTAATTTTTGTAGAGAAGTATGTATATGTGAAAAAGGGTGAGGTAATTGGAAGTTCTGGTATGGTTGTGGAGATTTATGAAAGCAAGTTTGGTAAGAGGAAGTATAACAGAGGTAGACGAGTGAATGGTAGATGGGTGTTTAGTGGGACTGAAAGAGAGAGAGGAAAGTGTTTTTTGAGATTGTGGAAAATCGAATGAAACAGACTTTACTGGAGGTCATTACGCAAAACATTTTGCCTGGGACGACGTTTATCTCAGATTGCTGGAAATATTATGATTGTTTGATCAATGAAGGTTTCCAGCATTTGTCTGTTAATCATTCGTTGAACTTAATTGACCCTATTGGCGCGCATACTAACAATATTGAAAGTATTGTGGAGCCAAATAAAGCGGGAATTCTGGAAGTATAGTGTTTGGCAATCGTCGGAAGATAGTTTTGACGCATATTTTGTGGAGTTTATCTGGAAAGGTTGTCGCAATAACAATCTAGGTAAGTTTTGTTTTTTACAAATTGTAAACTATATCATTAATATTATATAAATTTTTATTCTTACTTTTTTTATTATATCATAGTTATTTTAGTAAAAATTTGTTTTGATATATTCAACAATGTGTTGCGTTTTATTATTCTCAAAAATATTAGCATTTTTATAACATCTGAAATATCAGTAAGAATGATTTCTGAACTGACGGTGTCTTCTGCTTCCAACTGTTAATATTTTTAAGTTAATGATATTTCTTCTTCTTCTTTTTTTTTTTTTTTTTTTTTTTTTTTTTTTTTTTTATTTTGTGTGTGTGTGTGTGTGAAGCGGCCATCTTGAATTGTGCCTTCTTTGCTTCGATCTTGGCGTCAAAAAAAAAAAAAAAAAAAAAAAAAAAAAAATCCGCCAAAAATACAAGGGGCACCCAACTGTAAACTTTTACCAAACGGCCCTTTAAATGTAATATAAAATCTTAAACTTTTCAGATTTTTATTTATTTAATTTTGTTATTATGTTGTTTAGTTTTTTTGTTTAACTCCGATATCTGTTCTTCCTGTTAGCTAGTAAGCCACCATTTTTATTTAATTGGCGATGATTGTATTATTTAATTTTTATTTATACTAGTGTAGCTAGTAGAAAAAGAATTTTTGTTTTTTACTAGGAACTAGTTTACTAGTTTTTACTAATATTTCTTCACTAGTTACAATTGTTCTTTACTCTCACTTATTTTCACGTTCCCTAACAATATAATCATTTTATTTTGAAACAATTAAATTTTATTACTCTCAGCTGCATAAGAACTAGATTTTCACGATGAAAGTCCTTAATTTTACACATTTTATTAAATTGTTGTTAAAATTATGTATGTATATATATATATATATATAGAGAGAGAGAGAGAGAGAGATAGAACGTGAGGAAGAAGAATAGCGGGAGAGAGAAAAATTAGAGAGTTATATTTATTTACTTATTTAAACTTTAGTAGTTAATTGTCGTTCATAATTCAACAAGAATCTGCGCTTAAATATTTAATTTCTATTTATCTTTTAGATTTTAACCCCTGCTGATCGATCTAATCTTTTGGACGATGCTCTGATACTTTCGAGGTAATTTTGAACATTTTCTGAAATATTTATGTTTAGTTTGCAAATTTTCATAGAAATGTCGCACGTATTTCACGTTCGCATTAAAATCCAAGTTGTCCATTTGAAATAAGATGTAAAGGCAAATATATTTTCAAAAGGGCTAACTTAGCCATCTTAGGTTAAATATTACACTCTGCGTTATTATGATTAACTTTATTTGTATAATTAGAAAATGTTTCAATTTTTCTGATTTCCATCTACCTGTTTTTCAGCAAGTTTTCTTGCATTGTTTTTTAAACTCTGGACATCTCTATTGCTAGCCGAATGTGCCCAACTACACCACGAAAACACGCGGTAGGGAGACATAAAATACCTAATAACTTTCCCCGGTTATTCACACTTAAAACATAATATGCCGTTATCACACTGGACCTATTTTACCCATGCGTTTCGATTAAAAATTCATTTCATTTATATACATTGTATGAAATCAGAATTGCTATTGTAAAATCTCTGTATGTATTGATCGCAACATAACTGTGTGAAATTACATTAGTAACTGTACTGAACTGAAATGTACTATACTACAGAGTATTTCAGAACCATACTTGAACAGAAGTGTACTATTGTTTTAATACATTACTTCGGAAGTGTTTATATATGTATATATACAGGGTGGTCATAAAAAAGCTTTCCCGATATATGAGTTCCTAGCAGCCTATCCCTTTTGCCAATCGAAACGAAAATCTTAATATTTTTATCAGAAAGTATGCGCTCGAGATTTATGATGATTTAAAACAGCAGAGCTCTCACGGGTACGAAGACGATGAAACGATTCCGAAAATCTTGAATGGCTACACCCATATTTGTTTCATACGCAAATTGATGAGAGCATTTAAAAACCATAAATGACGTTGGAATGATACATGAATGACGAAGATTGCTGGCCTAAAACATTTGCAAAGAAGAGCATTGTAATACACCAATGACATCACAAAAAAGGAGATGGAAAAACTGCAAATTTGGAAATGCAAATTTTCAAAGTGCGCACATTCGCTGAGGATAACGCATTATATGCGAGAGATTGTTGACAATAATGAAAGAATGTAACATCGCAGAAGGAGTTTGTATAATTTCACATTTTATGGCATCTTTCGATTCTGGCAAGTCTCGGATTTGATATACTCATCTTAGATTTCATGTAAGCCCAGAATCAGAAAACCATCGCATTGATCTCTGGAGATCCTGGTGGCAATGAAACCGCAAAGTTACAAGAGATCTTAAATCATTGCACACATTAAAAACTTATAATTGCAATAGGTTAACTTCCCTCTCCTCTCTTCTCTTACTCTGTCATTGATCTGTTACAATGTTCTTTGCCAATGTTTTACCCCGGCAATTTTCGTCATACATGCAGTATTCCAATGTCAATTATTGTTTATCAATGCGATGATCAATTTGCGCAGGAAAAAGTGGGTGTTGTATTTCGGAAAGTTTTCTACTGTAACCGTGAGCGCTCTGTTGTTTTAAATCACAATCCTAAGCGCATGCCATCATATAACAATATCTGAAATTTCATTTCGATTGTTAAGCGGATAGGCTGCTAAGTGTTTACATTTTGGAAAACGTTTGTTTTGATCACTCAGTACCTTTAGTTGATATCAACAATGGCGTATGAACAGACGAGTGAAGAAATGCAGTATTGACTTTCACTCCTATCAAGCAGAAAAAACTTTATATTTATCATCAGTTGCATCGTAATGTTTTGTCTACATTGCACTTATTGTTATTAAAAATTTCCTTCATAAATCTATTAGTGAACTTTTTATATTATGTAACATGTTCTCGTGTAAAAGTAATATAATTTAATTTTAAACGAATATTATTTAATAATTTAGGCGCCTTACATTTTAAAAATAATATATTTTTTCTCATTTTATGTTAAGTTGGGGATATGTAATTACAGTCTGTTTAAACTCAAGAGATTATGCATTTGTGTGGGTTTTTAGAATAAGTCTTAAAACTTTTATTCTGAGTTTATTGCGAATGATAACGCAGGAAATTGTACATATATTTAGAATAATTCTTAAAAGTTTTAATTCCCTTTTTATCTTTCTTTTTAAATATTAAAACTACGTTTGAAATATATTTCACTTCATTTTAACATTTAATAATTTTCATTACTGAAACGTTTCTCATATGTAATTTTAGAGCAGGTATTTTGGAAGCAGTACTTGCTTTTAACGTGACTCGTTATTTAGAAAAAGAAGAAAACTATGCACCTTGGAAAACAGCCATTTCGCATTTTGAAAAATTAGCTGTGCTTATGCAAGATAATCAAGTTCTTCTTTCATTATTCCAGGTACATTTTAATTTTATTTATTTCTCTCTCTTGCTCTGCCTGGGTTTGTTTTTCGGGAGAAGGGATATGTGCGAGCGATAACACATTTTTTTTAGTAGAGTTTCCTCGCTTTTTTTTGGGAGGAGCTATATGCTACATGGAGTTAAGATAGTTTAACGTTACCGTGTTATTTATTATTCTCGTAACTTAACATTCACGAGTTAATTTACATAGTAGATTAACCTGTAAATTACCCTATTACTTGCTGGGTTATGCTTTTTTAAAAAGGCATAATGCTTCAAAATAATTATGCGAAACATCAGTATTTTTGTTTTCAAAATCAATGAAATCATAATGTGGAAGATCCTGTAAAAAAAAAGTATTCAATAAGCACTCTTGTCGCTGTCAAAAAATATGACATTAATTAAGAAGTATATCCTTTTTAAATTGCTAATTTTGTTATATTGTTAAGCAACGTTTTGTTCTGATTTTATGACAAATGCAAACTCGTATTCTAAGAGAATTAACTAAGAAATAACATGAAAAATTTTTAACGTGGTAAAATTTGTGGTACATCCTAAAAACAGCACGTCTCTAGTGTTATAAAAGAATCTCTCATATTTTCAATCTTATTTCCTGATAACTGTTGACAAGAGCTTTCTTGATTGTTAAATTTGATGATCAACGGCTATTGTTAATCCGAGTTCTTAACCACAGCAAAACTTGCCTAAGACCAAATCTAAAATCATTTAAAGGTATGGCCAATATTGGTATTAGCTGATGATGTAACTTGACTTTTCAGAATAGCACACATTATTATTAAACTAGGTTTATTAACGACCTAATTATTTACGTATATACATCCAACTGTATGCTGGGAAGAACGATAACACATTTCTATCACATTCTTTCGCGCTCTTCTGTTCCGCGTCTTTCAATTTTGCGCCCTCTAAAGGCGGCTTTCTTACAACACTATTTGTCGCCGCTTACAATTTCGGCTATTCTTACGTGGAAATGGTCCCAATTTTCCAGAGATACGAATTAATTCTGTAATTATTACACATTTCTACATTAAATTCGTAAAACACGTTATTTAACATACTCACTGTGTTTATATTAATCTTATAATGCACAATACACACTACTGTCACATTAAAAAAAAAAATATACATTATGTTAAAAAATTCACGTGATAATGAACATACTTAAATTCACATAAATTGTTTAAATACACTTAAATTCACTTTGAAATTCTCTCTAAATTATTACTAAATGCATAATAAGTTTGAAATAACACTGATTCATTATCAGTCCTAAAATGGTAAGTTCAAAAATAATTACAAATTTATATAATACATGGTAATCTTTCAATCTAATTCAGTAAGTTTGCTAGATGTCCAAAGTCTTTTGAGACCTTTTAAGCACTTATATGTACATATAAATAAAAAAGGAAAGTTCGTGCCTCAATCGTAGCAAAAATTTACCATCATTAATCCTTACGAACAGGTGTTGCTGGATTTCATTGAGAAATAGAGCTTGGTAAGTGGTCTGTGTCTTGTTTGTCATCATCCTCATCATCATCAGAACTGGGCTCGCAGGTCCATGGTTTAGGTTGCCTCACATGAGCTGTGGTTGTGAAATAGCGACCCGATCCTTCGCATCTAGTTGTGTTATTCTGTAAGTATCAGTGAGTAATACTTTCACTGTTATATGGCGCTCGATATTTCGGCTGTGTTTTGGTAGGTTGACCTGTAGCTTTTGGAGCACATCTCATCACAACGATTTTTCTTTGTTCAAATATTAGTGTGAGACATCTTTCACCCGAATTTGTCTTTCATTTTCGTTTGTTGCATCTTAGTTCTTCCTCGCGCTTGTTCTTGTATTTCTTGCGGGCTCTTTCATGTATCTGCATCTTCCTCTGCTAAGGATATCTGCTGCTTCCTCAGGACGCCATCGTTAAATCTGAATGAATATCCATGTAATACTTCAAATATTGTCTTATTCGTAGTTTTACTTATCATGTTGTTCAGATGTCTTTCTGTCTCCTTTAGTTTGGAATCAGAATCCCTGGGCTGTTTATTGGACAGGCTTGTCGTTATCGTTCCTAAAATTGTACGCACTTGTATTTTTCACTGCACAAATTGTCAAAACACTTGTCCATATTATCCATTATCACTAACAGTCCTTGATTACCTCTTGAAATCTTTAGGAAAGGACGCAAATTATCCATATGAATAATAGCAAAGCGTCTTTTACTGGATTTTTATCATATGTAACAAATCCTGTTTCTTGCTCCATGTCACTTTATTCATGAGGCATATGTGCCTTCTTACATATCGTTTCGTGCCTGGAAACCAATATTCAGAGATTTTTAAATCTGTTATTTTATTTCTAGCTTTCAACTTTCTACAGATCGTTCATTCAATAAAATCAGCCCTGGTTCCTTCCTTCTGGCATTCGGATTGGGTTCTGACTTTCTATTGCCATTTAAATTGATCTTCTTTTCAGTTATTTATTTTAGCCAGTTTTTTTTAACTTTTTAATTAAACCTTTCTGTAGTGCAGACATCTTTACATTTGATTTTTTTTTAAATTTTTAATTTTATGTACTTTCCTGCTATTACTTTTTGAAAAATATTTTGGTTACGTTGTACGTAAAAAAGCTGAATTTATTTCATACCTTCTTTTGCTAACAGTCCAATTTTAGCTTATATTGCAAGTATACTATATATAATGTTTTCATTTGACAACTATCGGGATTTGAATACACATATCTATTTCAGTTTAAAATCCTTAATTAAGCAGAAAATTTTCTTCTGATTTCATTTCTAAATTTAAAAAATCAGATGAATCTTTTTTAACCAAATGTAAATTATGAAGAAGCTTTTCTTTCAGTTTCATTGTTAAATTACAAAATTCAGATAAACCCTTTTCAACCACATCTATTTAGGTTTTAATGGGGTGGAAAGAAAATTTTTTTTAAAGGAAGGATAGGCTATCTTAAAATCAGATTTTAAATCTAAAAATAGTTATCACTCTCTGCTAGAAATTTAAGAAATAAATTATTCTCCTTTGGACTATTATAATGGCCTTATTAAGACTGTAACTAATAAATATCAAACACAATAGACGCACTGCGACTATATTAACGTCATTCTGGAACTGGTAGCATATCAGCTGATTTGCAGGCACAGTTTTCATGCACTTAAAAAATTAATTTGACAAAAATTTACTTTTATTGCGTTAAAGACCATTATAACCTAATGAATTATTTAGAATTGTTTAACGAATTCAAAACAATGATATTTTGTATTTCAGAAATATGTCGTAAAGTTATTAAAACCAACCATCAGTGCCCTAGGATGGAAAGATAAAGGAAATAACGTGCAAAAGTAATTCTTGTTTTTTAATTTATTCATATAATGGCGTATTTAAATAGCGTATTTTTAATATATCTTTCTAATTTCGTTCTAGAAAATTGCGTTCTGATATTTTAACAGCAGCCGTGCTTCACGGGGATGAACAAACTGTATGTACAGCGATGCAGGTATTTCAAGATTGGATGCAGAATGGTGTAAAGTAATTGCAGCTTTTATTTAAATTAATTAATGATTTAAACGGGGAGTTTATTGCTTATTATTTGATTTATAATGCAATTGTCAGCTGTCTTTTAATTTAAAATTTTATTTATGTAAATTGTTCAAAGAAAACATTTAATTTTCTGAAATTATAAGAAATCTAAAAATCATTTTATGATGTACAGCTAATTATAATAGAATCGCTTTAATCCGATCTCGCTTTCATCGGCCGGGTTTTTGTATAGATATTGTTCCGCGAATTAATTTCTCTTTTCATTATTAGTAAAAAAAGGAACGTTTCATTTAAATGAAACGCGTTGCTTTGTTCAGAAAGTAAAGTTAAACAAGAGAAGTATTAATCATTATTATTGGCAGCAGTAATAATGGAATTCTTGATGCTTCTGTTAATGCTTGTTAGGTGTGGCGTGATTTTAGTTTAGCTGAAAATTCAAGTTTAAATTTTATAAAAAGTAAAAATTACTAGTATTTTTTACTAAACAGTTATGCTTCAGTACAACATACTCAGCGTTAAAAGTAAGTTTAAGAGGCTAATTATTTTCTTTCACAACAAAATCACATAAACAGACAAACACGCATATATATATAATGATTCGGAATGTCATCGATGATAGATGAAGCAGAAAATAGTAGAAGTTTGCAGTCATGGAAGATTTAATTATCAATTTTTATTTTAATTGGCATTTGCGGCCACAAATAACTTGGAACGCTAATCGTGCCTGTTTTAGAACATATATTGACACTATTGCGGTAAGAAGACAACAGCGCAGGCATGAATAGGAAATTCCGTTCGTCTTTAAATGACTTTTGAACAACACTGTTGAACTCTACAACTATGAACATAATATCTGTCTATAAGGAAAGCGATTATTTCTTGCAAAATGAAGCCACTTGCAGGACGGCCTACTGAAATTCTTGACTTAGCGATTGTAAGTCAAACACATACGAGGTACAAGGAAAAAGTAAAATTATAGGATATTATCTATGCGCCATATTGTGAACGTGGATAAGACAAATAGTCGACTGTACAGCCTAAACATTTTAGCTTAAAATTTAAAACTTTACCTAACTTAAATATCTTAATTTCGCAACATTTTCTGACCGGCATCATGGTCAGTTTCACTCTGAAGTCTATTTATGTTAAGTTCATTCAAGACAGTTTCTCTCTAAAGTCTATTCATGTATTTATTAGTTCTTTTTTCAAGTAATTACATTGCCTTCAACAGTCTTTGAATACAGATGTGTAATGTTTCATTGCAACTTATAAAGAAAAAAGATGAAAGAATGGATATTAAAATGTGATTTAATGGATAAACAATATATAAAACACCACTACAGCTAGATGGGTGCCAGTTAGGAAAACAAAACACACAAATACAGTCATAGTTACTTACAAATTAATGCTAAACTTGTTCGAAATATTTACTGCTAGTTATATGTGCATCTGTATTCGAGAAAGTATCAGCGGTCGAGCGGTAAAGTCGCTTAACACTGGTAGTTCGGTCCGAGGTTCCAATCCTGCGAACGGGCTGGCTGCATGGGCGTTTTTGTGGTTTTCCCATGTATAACGTGTATACGAGCCAGTTTCCCTTAGAAAGTCCTCTACGAAGTCCATCCCTCAGGTAGATAGCCCTAGTGTGCTTTGCCATAATTAAATACACCACACCGAGAAAGTATCTTGGCAAGCATATTCTTCATATAAAAGGTTTTACACTTCTACATGCATCAGTAATATAATGATGGGAATTCCAGGAGTCTAAACGATGTTAATATTTTGTATGTACCACATTTCCCCCTCCATGAAGAAAAAAAAAAAAAAAAAAAAAAAAAAACAAGATTCCAGAGATGTTGAGAAGTTTTTGTTGTCCCCAATACTGATTCCGAAATATTCAAAATAACAATATAATTCTGTTTTATGCATTATTGTTTCCAAAATTTATTGCAAGCACCTTTCATTTAATTTTTTAAAATTTGCTATATTTTGGTATTAAATATTTGTTAAATGCATTTATTGATGTGTGCTATTATTTTCTACATATTTTAATAAGACAGAAGTATATTATTATAAAAATAAAGGTTAGTAAGCACAATAGTTAGCTCACTGCATAGCATATTTGCATTATAGGCTAATATCAGGGAGCAGTTTCTGCTTCCATTGTATAAATAACGATTTAATCATGTATAACTAAGCAATCATTATTAAAAGTCGTTTTAATTGCATAATGCATTTTGAAGAAAAAGAAGCTTTTCAGCTTGAAGAAACATAAAAGCATAAACATAAAAAAGTAAATAATAATTCATAATCTATGCAAAGGCAGTTTATAAATGATAATAATAATTCATAATCTATGCAAAGGCAGTTTATAAATGATAATAATAATTCATAATCTATGCAAAGGCAGTTTATAAATGATAATAATACCAACACCATATGTTGGCAACATATCTACAGTGGTGGCCAAAATTGTGGACACTTTTGGAAATTTTTATATTTTTGAACTTTGTATGCTTATAGAAAACGTTACGTTTCACAAAATGCAAACTTGTATATATCATTTTAAAGAGAATTTATTACTGAATTCAATACAAAACACAAAATTCAATTATTTGCAATACAAAAAAGTTAAGCGATAATAGTTATCAATATACATTAGATAGTGATGATTGCAGTGAGTTATCAGTACTTAGTAGGCTACCCTTTATTTTTGATTACAGCTTCACATCGACGTTTCATTGAGCTGACAAGAGTTTTAAGCTCTTCTTTCGTGATTACATGATGTCAGGAAACAATTATAGCCTCAATCAGTTCCCTTTTATTTGATGGGCGCCTCATTCGGACAAGAGTTTTCAAACGGTGCCATAAATTTTCGATAGGATTGAGGTCAGGACTGTTTCCTGGCTATGACAGCAATTTAACGCTCTTTGTACGAAACCACTTTTTCGATATTTTGGCTGTGTGGCAAGGAGCAGAATCCTGCTGAAAAATAAACGAAGCATTGTTGGGAAAGAGATCTCTGATGGAAGGTAGAAGTTTTGGTTCTAGAATAGTGTCAATGTATTTTCTGGCATTCAGTGTCCCATCGATGAAATGAAGGCGACCAATACCATCTGCTGACATGCATGACCAAATCATAACACTAACTGGGTTCTTCAAAGTTGCTTGAATGCAGTCAGGATGTAACTCTTCTCCTATTCTACGTCTTACATATTTTCGCCCATCACTACCGAATAATGATATCTTAGTTTCATCACTCCATATAACATGTGACCACTAATCATCTGTCAAATTTAATGTGTTCTTTTGCCCCACTGTAGTCTTTTTTTTTTCGTTGCTGAAAATAAGATAAGGCTTTTTTCGTGGAATTCTACCTCTCAGTCCAGTTAATCTCCTGATTGTTCTTGAACTGACGGAAACACCAGCATCATTCAGATCACTTCTGATGGCAGCTGATGACATTTTTCTATCTTGGAGACATATGTATCTTGGAGACACCAGCATCATTCAGATCACTTCTGATGGCCGCTGATGACAATTTTCTATCTTGGAGACAATGTATCTTGGAGACACCAGCATCATTCAGATCACTTCTGATGGCCGCTGATGAGATTTTTCTATCTTGGTGACATAGTCGTTTTATTCTTCTGTCATCAATAGATGTGGTGCACCTTTTTCGGCCTTTTCCTTCTTTGTTTTTTATTGAATTTGTCTTCTGATATCGTAAAAAAAACTTTCGGACTCCAGATGTAGTCACTAAACCACCCACCTGTCTTGCAATTTCAGCATAGGAAAGACCACTTTCTCGTAACACAATAATATTACATCTCTTTCTATGTGTCCAATCTACTCTTTTATTTGATGTCATTGCTTCTTGAATAAATATTAAAATTTTATCAAAAATTCCTACTTGTAATTGTAGTGTATAAGAAACATGTCCTCCTTCTACAGAACAAAGCAAAATAATGAATTGTTTCAAGTGTAAACATGATGTCAGCTTCTACTGGCAGTTACTAACATTTGATTGGTTCTCAGAACAAGAACAGTGATTGGCCAGGAAAGCTAGACATTACAAACCACTTCATAACTGTGCTTTTAATTTATATTAAAGTACATATAAATTTTTTGTATTGCAAATAATTGAATTTTGTGTTTTGTATTGAATTCAGTAATAAATTCTCTTTAAATGATATATACAAGTTTGCATTTTGCGAAACAAAACATTTTCTATAAGCATACAAAGTTCAAAAACATAAAAAATTCCAAAAGTGTCCACAATTTTGGCCACCACTGTATGTTACTTAACAAGTAAATTATAGGTTCGAAGATCTGAGCCGACACTTTTTAAAAACCAACATTTATTTTTCACGCCATTTCTTATTCTACAAAATCTTATATACAACTAAATATCAAACAGAAAAGCAGACGTAGACGTAATGCATCTGGGCACGTGACAGACGAATTCTTTAGGGTTGCCACAGAAACATTGTGTCGCCACAATTCTCCCACTTTTTAAGTAGATGGCTACACACTCAAAACATAAAACTTACATCAATATAAATGAGGGTTATATAACAAAGAAAATTACCTAATACTTAAATGGGTACTATTCGGTTTCGAGGGCCGTAAAAAATCGCCAAACTATTGTTGATGCCAGTGCTGCCAAAAATAATTGCGGCAAGAAAGGAAGTATAATAGTAAATTACTATTTAAGATTGATGTGTTAATTTAGATGAAAGGTTAATTTCATATAATACTTTTTATTATTACAATTTATATGAAAAAGGATAAACATGACTGAATGTAAGCATAAGAGTAAATAACTATTTCAGATCATTATTATAATTTATATAAAATTGATAAACATAACTGAATGGATGCCTGCATCGCTAGTTCGCTAGTAACATATCCCTAAAGCATAATTTCATCTTGTTGGTTGTTCAAACGTAATTTTCTATAATTAATGATGCCTTTTGTTTGAAAATATT